AGACACATTTCACGGTGATAGTGAACAAGCTGCAGACACATTTCACGGTGATAGTGAACAAGCTGCAGACACATTTCACGGTGATAGTGAACAAGCTGCAGACACATTTCACGATGATAGTGAACAAGCTGCAGACACATTTCACAGTGGACAGTTAGTCGTGTTGTGGAACAGTTCAGGCCTGTTGTGTTCTTACTGCCATATTGTTGGGTTTGTGTTTTTGTCTGTTTATCTGTTTGTCCGAACGTGTGGGTGGTTGATGGGTGCTGCGATGATGTCTGCTTCTTCTGTTTCTCTACATTTGAAGAAGAATTTTGCCTGTTACAGTTACTGTTCTGCTCAGTGATGTGGTTGGAGGGTGTCACTGGTAGATCCTACTTCTTTTCTTTCCCTCTGTTGATTCTGTCTGTGTGGATGGTTGGAGGGTGTCACTGGTAGGTCCTACTTCTTTTCTTTCCCTCTGTTGATTCTTTGTGGGTGGGTGGTTGGAGGGTGTTCACTGTCAGCTTATCCTGCATTTTCCTTTGGTGGGGAGTGTATAGTTGTGTGTGTGTGAGGGTGGTTGGAAGGTGCCACTGGTAGGTCCTACTTCCCTCTGTTGCTCCTGTCTGTGAAGGTGTTTGAAGGGTGCCACTGGTAGGTCCAATATTTTTTATTTCCCCCCAAGTCTAATGCTTCTGTCTGTGAAGGTGTTTGAAGGGTGCCACTGGTAGGTCCAACATTTTTTATTTCCCCCCAAGTCTAATGCTTCTGTCTGTGTGGGTTGTTGGAAGGTGCCACTGGTAGGTCTTTCTTTTTTTCCCCTCTGTTGTTTCTGTCTGTGTGGGCGGCTAAAGGGTGCCACTGGTGGTAGGTCCCTCTTTTCTTTCCCTCTGTTGTGTGTGTGTGTGTTTGATTGTTTCCCAGCACAGAATGTCAGTGGCATCGAAGTGTTTGTTGTACATGTTTGTTGTACATGTACATGTTCGTTGTACATGTTTGTTGTACATGTTTGTTGTACATGTTTGTTGTACGTGTTTGTTGTACGTGTTTGTTGTACATGTTTGTTGTACATGTTTGTTGTACATGTACATGTTTGTTGTACATGTTTGTTGTACATGTTTGTTGTACATGTTTGTTGTACGTGTTTGTTGTACATGTTTGTTGTACGTGTTTGTTGTACATGTTTGTTGTACATGTTTGTTGTACATGTACATGTTTGTTGTACATGTTTGTTGTACATGTTTGTTGTACATGTTTGTTGTACATG